CGCGCCGACAAGGTGCAACTTTACCTCGCGTTCGCGCGCTCGACCACGCCAATCCATGGTAAGGGTTGCATTCCCGATCGATCGCACGGTGCTGGCTCCGGCTTTAGAAAGAATATTTAGTTTTATTTAATATTTAAATACACGGAGATGTAGTCGGATGCAGATAACTCGATGTACTTCATTCTGATGTACTTCACTCTGTGTACTATGCCATGCACTTGATACTATGTACTTCAATCGATGTACTTCACTCTGATGTACTTCACTCGATGTACTTCACTCTGATGTACTTCACTCTGTGTACTATGCACTTGACTCGATGCACTTCACTCGATGTACTTCACGCTGATCTACTTCACTCGGTGTACTATGCACTTCACTCTGNNTAACGCTGTGTACCTGATCCTCTGTACTTTCTCTGAAGGGCTCTGCACGGAAGAAACCTTCGCGATGCTTTCGGGAAAAAAGGGGAGCAGACAAACAAGTACGCAGACGCAGGCTCTCGGAGGCCAGGCCAGGCCAGGCCAGGGCTACGTTCGCAACCGACCGCAAAGGGGTCGTCCCTACTGACTGGGCGATGCGACGAGGAGCGCTGGCCGGCGAGAAGCTTAAGATCACGGCGTGTATCACGCGGCACTATGAAGCAGGGGTGTCACGCCTGCAACGCCAGTGGGGCTGGGCCCCCGGCCTAGCCACTGCAGAACGCTGGAGCTTGTGGGAATCTGAAACCTCTGACCTCAGACTCCAGCTCACAAGGAGTTGTGTCTTCGTGCTTGAACAAGCCTGCCTGAGCCCAAACTACACCTTTTCAGCCAGGGCCCGGGCGGATCTTCGCAACCGACGGCAGGGAGTCGGGATCCTTTCAAGCAAGAGGACACGACACGCCGTACCTATTTGCACGATGCAGCCTGCAGTGTGGTTGTCCGGGTGACATCAACATCCTCATCGAGCGTACCTCTTTTTTCAAGCATCTTAGTGCAGAAGGACGCTCGGCATCGAGGGCATTGCTGTAGGAGAAGCTCGTTTGGCAGTCGGAGGGGCGCCTGACCCCCAAAACACTTGAGCTGCCGCCAGTGTACAGCGCCGCAGTGCCTCGACCGTGCATCGCTGTCTTTCGTGTCGACCTTTTGCTTCTTCGGGGCTTTTGTCAGAATCGTCTCGTCTGGTCAGAGCGTCCCCCGCCTGCTCCCGCGCTGCGATGACGACCTCTGCCGCTTCGGCCTCCTGACGCCGAGACCACAGCGAAGCGAGGCATGGCGAGGCCACAGAGCCGCCCAGGCGCCTGCCGACAGCAGCTGGCACCGAAGACCTAGGCTTCGCGGTTTGATTTTTTGTGCTTCCACTTCCACAGCAGAAGGGTCCCCGCATCCGTGCCACGGCATGCAGCAGCCAGCACCTCTGAAAGTCAGAAGGGAAGGCTCTTCTGTCCCCCGCCCTGCGTTTCGGTGCCTTGTGCAGATCGAACCAGCTGAAACCAGCAAGGGCCTCACAGCGAGTAAAGGGGCTCTTGCCTCCAATCCGGCTCAGAGTAAGGCCCTGAAGAGGCCCTGGGCTCCTTACCGAAGTGGGCTGGTGCGAGGCCGCCGGAGGGCCTGAGACGAGGACCCACGTCAGGGTTGGAGGATCAACAGAAAGCCAAAGCCCAGAGGCCCGAGGCCCGAGCTCTCAAGACTGCTTTGCACCACCTCAAACAGATCTCACGGATCTCACGGAGTCTCACTGCCACGCCGCTTCAAGCGCCTTCCAAGTGATCTCGGTTTTCCCGTCGCCACCTCCAGCAGGAGGCAGGGCCCTCCGCACGTTCGGTGGAGCATCGTCAAGCGATGGCTCAGCACGGGGCCGGTCTTCAGCAACTCCACATGGACCTCTGCAGAACGCTGCCCTGCTTCTCTGCCAAAGTCCGCGGGGCTCTGGAGTGATTTGTGCCTGGGGCTCCGGCATTGTAGAGAACTGCCGCAACTTCTCGGAGAACGCCTCAATGCACCCTTGAACCGAGGCTCTATAGGTGTTCCCTACTTCAGATGCAGCGTTCTGTACCTCGGGAGGTCACGCCGGGCCTAGCCGCCCCCAGCTTTCTGCATGCGCCACGCCAGCTCACAGATCCCCCTCCGACGAATCTCCGCCTTCACTGCTTGGGCCCCAATAACGGCCCCACGCATCTTCGATAGCTCCGAGCCGTGCTTTCCTTCGACGCGCTGTTGAACACAGCAAGCTTTGTTAGATACGAGGGAGGGAGGCCAAGAAGAGAGTGCCGAGCATACTCTCTGCACTGGCGAAGCGGACGAACGTACGTGTTGAAGTGGGATATGACGAGAGTTGCGGGCGATGCCGCTAAGCGAGGGTCACTCTCACTGTTTCCCCGGGCAAACTGCAGCAGGACAGCTTCTTCTCGTCTCTCCAGGTACCACGACACCCCGCACCCAGCCGAGGAAGGGGCTCCCTATAGCTGTTGCGCTGTCAGCACATGACACATTGTCTTGCTTTCGAGATGCCTTTCGTGAGGCTGGGGACAAACCTGGAGGAGCCTTGGCAACATTCCAAAACTCAGCACTGCAGGAGGGGAACAGGGTGTGCACACCTCGAAGATTCTGGGGGACAGGCTGTATGTCAGAAAGAAATCGCCCTCCTCAGAACCTGCCGACCACGATCCATCAAGTATCAAGCATGCAAAACTTGAAGAAGGTAAGGGACCCGCGGAATGCAGAAAATATCGGAAAGCAGGCTGAACGGAAATCACGCTCGAGAACCTCGGAGAGGTTGCAACTTCAAGACTGCTCTAATCAAGAAACGCTGTATGCTGAGACAGCGTCATGGTGCATGTCATTCAAGTTCTGCACGAACTCCTGGCTCGTGGCAAAGCTGCTGCTCACCATGCTCGTGTTGTGGCACTGAGGGCATCCTCTAAGGAGCTGCCCATGGCTTGCAACCATTGAGTCCAGCCTGCCGGGGCTAAAGCTCATCCCCACCCGCTTCCGCTACCGCTACGACGGAGCATGACTGGCATTCTGAACCAGATAACGATACGCAGCCCCCTTCTTCGTATGACCGTAGCTGAATCAGCCTACCCATCAGAAGAGACGCGAAGTGGGTGAGACGCACTAGCCCCCGATAGTACAATTCGCGATTTGACTTGAACCATCCGCCTTGCCGAACCATGAATTGCACAAAGAAGGCACCAAAGAGCTCCAAACCTCAGATGAAGACTTCGAAGGAGAGAGATGCAGAATGCACCAAGGTGCCTCGCTGAACTTTCACTCCGGGGCCTTGGCTGGCCTCGAGACTGCTGCCGGCAGCCCGGATGCTGGCCGACATGACGTGGTGCGTCAGCTTGTCCTTCGTTGCTTCCACGCTCCCGACCACACGGGGAGCAGGGCAACAGTGCAGCTGACCTCGTGCTGTTTGAACTCAAGGAATTCCGTGTCGTCTTGCACACCACAAGCTTGAAGAGCCTACGCAAGCAAAACAGGCCATCTGACATCTGCGCGAAGCATGCTGTAACGAGGACACAGCCCTGACTGAAAGCTAGCTTTTTCGGCCTGCGCCCACACCTCCTGACCATATCTCTCTTCGATGTAGCTTTTCCAAACCTGCGAAAGCTTGTCCAGCGTTGCAAGCACAACAGCAGCCGAACGACTTGGGTCGGTGCGGTGTGGATCAAGCCGTGCATTCCGGCGATGCAACTGAACTAACGCTCCATTGATGCAGCAAGCGGCTGAAGCCACTTCTGCAATACTCTTTGCTTGGTTCCTTTGCTAGTCTGGGTTCACGAAACATTTGGAAGACTTTGCGCTTGTTGCTTCATGCCCTGGTCTAGATGAAGGTCTTTCACAGGTCGACAGCTGGGCCCAGAGCATACACAAGTGGCACCGCGCAGTTATTCTTCCAAGGAAACCAGCACAAGGATCATGAAAATCTAGTATTTAAAAATAGAGGGTGGGACGCCCTGCGGGCCCTTTATTTTCCGTATTTTCTAATGCTTTATAGCGAAAATCACTCTAGAAATAAAAGGGTAATGAACCGCTTGTAAATGCACTCTGCTCCAAACCAACTTGTACTGAATCGGTTTCCGTCATTCCATGTACTAGATCTTTTGCTTGCAAGCATTGTTGCAGCATTCGTTTGAAACCATGAGGAGAATTCACCATGTTGATGCCAAATGAACATTAAGGAATATATGTATCCGCGTCACAAGAGTTTAGGGTGTGACCGCACTGAATCCAAAAGAAAAGTTTTCAGCATGCCGCCACATGTGATAGATCAGAGGCATGTTGTTTACATGTGTGTGTGTGTACCATATTTCATTTAACTGTATACATTAAAATTACATTGTTTATGGAACTTGCGAGCCAACATGTACGTAAGTCCTATGCACATCAATCCTAGACTCTGAGCGAACCACACGTCCAGATTTTAAGTACTGCTGTTGGGGACCAGCTTGGCATGTTAACTTCGAGCCTGAATGTTGCGGGGGTGCATGCCTGTCATACAAACTACATTACCCTACGCATGTCTGCATAGCTTCTACATGACACCTTGTGGCTTCAATTCATCCTATTGAACATAAGGGGACGATGGTTTCTTCCGACTCCCTGTTTTAAGAAGGAAGAGTGTCTCTATGTCTTTTTGCTTTGCTAATAACCGCCCCTGTGTCATATCACTCGTAAAGCTCAAGTATGGATCCCATACGATAAACAAACCAGAAGAATTGGGTCTCTCATAGAGACTTATTCCGACGAGCCCCGCATTAACTGAAACACCGGATATCTGGTAGGTTTCCTGACACATAACTTCGTGTGTGGGCATGTCTCATTCGCTGCCTATTACGTTGTCACATAGGTGTAGTGTATCCGATATCCCAGATATGACAGCTTTTGCATGTCTATTCGGTTGGAAGATATATTGAACAACCCCCCCCCTCTCACGTACAGACTCTCTGACATCGAGGTGTTTTTGGTCTTGGTCCTCCATTGAGCTTGAATCCGTACTGGGTGCTCCGCAAAAGTGCGTAATGCATCCAGATCTGCACACCCCTTTCTTGGATGAGGCCCCCCTTCAGCTCGAATAGTGAAAATGAAAAACAAAGACTCTTTTGTAAAGACATTGGGGATAATGCCTGTTAGATGGCTTTGCATGCCGCAGCATATGCTTGGAACCCCTATATAGCCTAATGGAAATCCGTCAGAGTCCACAGGTTAAACTTTGCTGATTCGGGGGGCTTCTAAAGCAGTTTTGGTAATTCGTGAACAAATCTGTCTATCGACGTGTTCCGGCTTCTATGGTGAAGTTTGAAGACCCGATAAGAGACTTTTCCATGTCATGTGCTCCTTTTCCGTTGAAACTGTCATTTTCAAATATGTTACCAAGTTAAACAATACAACTCTAAGCGGTCACGCTTTTCCTCGTTGAACCAAAAGGCGCTGCACGGTCACATGCATATTACATGCCGTAGCCTTGGGCTCTCCAAAGGGTGTGGGGATACTATACACTGCTATACACATTCCCATCT